GTCAATTTTTTTGGTGGTCAAAAAAGAGATAAGGCAAAAAGAGCATATAAGAAACGTCCAACTAACCGCAATCTTATTCGTTTTAAGGTTTTTCGAAATTGCTGCAGTCGTATGTGTAGGGATGCTAAGCGACGCTTCTTCCATAGCTCTCTTACTGATCGCAATCCTACTGATGCCTGGCGTTTTTTGCGCTCTGTAGGAGTGGGGAAATCTACTGCTACTGTGTCTACTAATGTAGATTTAAGCGTCCTTAACAGACACTTCTCCCTTCCTCCTTCTACTATCGATGGTGACATAAAGGATTCTACGCTCGCAGAACTTTCACTGGTTCCGAGGCCAGACTGCACATCTTTTTTCTTTTCAAAAATATCCGAAACTGACATTAAAAATACCATTCAAGCCATTTCTTCCGAGGCTGCTGGCGAGGACAACCTAAGCGTAAGAATGTTTACCCCTATTTTATCTTTTCTCCTTCCTATACTTGTTCACATACTTAACTTCTCACTTGAATCCGGTTCTTTTCCCAAAATTTGGAAGATGGCGCACATTATTCCACTGCCTAAAGTATCTAATCCATCAGTCCCATCTCATTTTCGTCCTATTTCTATTCTTCCCCTTCTCTCTAAACTTCTTAAGCATATTATCTTCTTAAGAATAAAGCTCTTACAGTTCTAATTCTTCTAGACTTTATGTATTTTTATTTTCTCTCTTTCCCGGTATTTGAATTTGTTTTTTTTATTCCATATTAATTTATTTAGGAGGTACACACTGACTACCTTATTGTATTTCTTTTTCCTGTTTTGGGCCTGCTGGTAGAAATTTCAATTTGAAATAAGCAGTGCCCTTGTACTAATGTCTGTTACATTTGTTCATATGAAATTGTATGTGTGTACAAAATAAATAAATAAATAATCCAACATTTTGTGGCGGCGGCCATCTTGTATGTAAAATTTTGTCATAGTAAACAGTATTCTACTACTCAAGCCCTTTTATTTAATGTCCGTATTGAGGGAGTCGTGAAAAATATGTAGGTAATCCAACATTTTTGGTGGCGGCCATCTTGGATTTGAAATTTGTCATAGTGTTCAGTATTCTACTACTCAAGCCCTCTTATTTGATACCCATATTGATGGAATGGTGATAAAATATGTGATCCGACATTTTGTGGCGGCGGCCATCTTGTATCGATTTTCATCAAAGTGAAGAACACTCCCGACTAATACACCTTTTAAACAAAATCAAAATGGGTTCATCCGTTCGGGAACTATGATGCCACAAAAAGACACAAACACACCACACACACACACAGAGAGACATGTCAAACTTATAACACCGCGTCGTTTTTGCGTCCGGGATTAAAAATATATTGAATTTAGAAAAAGTTGTTTCATATGCGGATCTCCGATAAATTTGATATCGGTCGAATTGCATCGAGCCATAAGTCTAAGTTAATCCTCATTACGTAAATCAACTTCTAGTGAAAGTCTCTTCAAAATCGGCCAAGCCGTTTCAGAGATTAGCCAGAACTAACAGACAGACAGATAAAATATATTATTTTTGTATATGTACCATGTATACACACAAATGTATTTAGTGAAAAGCGGTTATTTTAATATTACAAATATGCACTCCAATTTTATGTACTAGTATAAGTGTATTGAGAGAAGAAGTACCTTGCTTTATTTGCATTTCATAATATAAATATATATTTTAACTTTCTTATACAAATATACCTAGGGGTCTTTCGACCTATGCTGAAAATAACAAATGTGTATTAGAAATAATTCAATAAGCTATATAAATTCCATATAAATCGAACTTCGTGACCAAAGTTGGAAGTCCCACTATACTGCTCTATTTACGCTCGCTCGAAAGTATCTAGATCGAAAAATGGCGCGAAGAAATGCGACACAGGTCCAACGTTGAGGAGCGCTCGCGCGGTACTGAGCTCAGGCACCTAGGCATTGTTTTGCATAAATAGTTTACAATTTTCTGCCATGAAAGTTATATAAATTAAAGTTATAAATGAAAATAACCACAAAACTTATAACACTGACAGCTGAACTACTTCCGAGAATACGCAAAGCAAATTTGCAAATGGCTGACAGGTGGTACGATAGCTATATCTCATGACGTCACGTAAAAAATTTTGAACTGTCACACTAGTGTTATCTTTGTTTACTAAAGAAACTTCTTATTAGTTAAAAAAAGACAACATGATGTTTCTGATGTCAACTTCAGATTGCATGATATTTATATAACCATAGAAAATATTTCCACTCTACCTTACTCTAATTGCATTTTAATTACACGCAAGCTTGCACTACTATGTTTAATAGAGATTACCCAAAAATTGGTTCTAGAGTGAACATAGACAATCAAAGCAAAGGCAAATTAAAAATATAAGAAACTGCTGCTGTTTCGCCACGTATATTATTGCCTAAGTATATCGTATAGTACTGCGTATCTATGATATAGATAAGTTATATAATAGATTTGATGTCGCATATTAAAACTGTTTAATATAAAATAGGTAACAGATTTTATACTCAAATAAATATTTCTTTTATTTGTTTATAAAACCTGACTTTTCATTGGAATATGTTACTAAATATTTGTATTTGACGCAATTTGGGGTTACAATAAGGTAACAGAAACAGAACAACTGTAGTAATTTATTTGAAAATATTATGTTTTAATGACAGGTAGTAATTAAACTATGGGTTAGGAAAAACAAATTTGATTTAGCCAGTTTTCAAATCATCTAGGGCCAAGCCGGATTGTTGTAGAATAGCCGTTTGATAAATATGTAAAACAATATATTAAAAATGAAAAAAATACATATTTCATTGGTTTGATTTCGGATACTCTGAAATGCTGAAATTTTAGGTTAAAATTATTATTTTAATATTAAATTACATTACATATATTGCTCAGATCGCAAGGTAGGTAAAGTACTCGTATTATGGAGTAACTGAAACAACTAAGGTACCACACTACACCCAAACCCGGGACCTCGGAGATGGTGACTTGGCACTTGGTTTCGGAGATTTTTAAATGAAACTAAATGAGGAAAGAAAGGTAATCTTTTATTTGATAACAATTTTACAGCCCTGATCATACACCATTTCGTGAGGGTTTGTAAATGGAACTGACGGACACTGCAAGAAATCCAGGAGTGGCATGAGAAACAAATCCACAATTCCATTAGTTATTAGAATATTACGTCCTTTATTATCATTATAGTCAACAAGGGAAGTGATCTCTATCTCTAGTTTGAGAATTTTAAATCAGTTATCAGTTTTTAAAAGTATGCCAAGTTTCAAGTGTGCACGCCACACTTCAAACTTAAATTATAAATTTAGTAATGTAATGTACTGCTGTGTACAATTTGGTAGGTATATATAAGTTATAGAATTCCTTAATAAAGAAACACGATAACGATAAGATATTTTAAGATTGAAACAAAGTTGTCAAAATACGCATTTTTGCACGTGCCTGTACTAATGAGCGTTCGTAATCATAAGCCGGGTGAAGCAAAAAAAAATTAAAGCGCCCACAAAACCATCCGCACCGTGATCAATAGCAGGGCCGAGCCGTCCGGCCGTAAATTACCGGAACCGGACCAGTGAGTGGCCGGGCGCCGGATCGCGACTCGTTATTTATGTTAAATATTCTGCTGGGATTTAGCGCGCATTATGGCCGGATTGCACGTTTTTGATACTTGCACAACGGGGTTTATGGAAGTTAATATGTCTCAAGGGCGTCATTATACGAGTGCTAGTTAAGTTCATATTTCTTATCAACTACTATCATCATTATAAGCCTATTTACATGTTACTTTCTGTATTAATCTAAAAGCAACCCCTTCTTATAGGCTTGTGTCAACTTCGTAGGAAAACCGAGCATCAACCCACCACAGCTTCAATGGAGATTTGTAGAGTTAACAACTGCATATGAAACCAGAACCAACAGCTTAACGTGCCTTCCGAAATACGGTAGAGATTATACTTACCTATATGAAGATCAGTCTTTGCGAATGTTGCAATATACGAACTGTGCTATCAATATCAAATTCCGATAAAAAAATTACATGAATTTATACACAGATTAAGGTCCCAATAAAAATGGTTTTAGACTTTTACGTGCCTAGACCGAATAAACGATTTTGATTGCATTTCTATTGAAATCAAAGGATTCATGAAAGACTAGAGTCAAGAGCTATATCTATTAAATCTTGACCATAAATCATATAGCTCGATTAGTTTTTATTCCATGATCATTATGTTTTATAACACTATAATGTCTTCAAAGAAATCTCGTTTAATCTTAGCTATTCATCACGCAATTGCCAATCTCATAATCGCTTTAACGTTCCCAATCAAATCACAGGCAAGATAAAAGCCGCGGCTTTATGAGGTTCCTTCGTTAACGGCAAAAAACTGTCTGAAAATCGGAACAGACAATCGGGTTCCGGATGTCTGGAAGATTCCAGATTAATGGGGGCTTAGTCGTGAAAAGTCACTGGAGGTTTCTCTCGTCTTAGATTGAGACTTGGTCTTATTTATTATAGATTCTTTTTGCCAAGAAATTGCAGTTCGGAGATAGCGATATGGATTTCGAGGTTGAAATAAATGGAGAACAATTAGTCTTTCCCGTATCAATTAGAACGAAAGAGAGTACATTTAATTCTATAATGTACTACAATATTGAAAGTTAAATAATAAAGTAAGTAAGTAAAGGTGTGCCAGAATCTGATGACATTTCTGAAAATATTAATTTCTAGAAGGCAACATTGGGGAAAAAGGGTAAAGACGTCTTGATACTTGTAACACTTTCACATAATAAACACTTCTTAATGAAAAATGCACTTTGTGCCTGGTACTCTTGAAAAATTTGTCAGTTCTGTTCTCGTCAGGCCCTAGGTAGTTCAGTGGTTAGATAGAGCAGTCACCCGGATTGCGAAAGTTCATAAGTTCCCATCTCAGATTGCCAGGGACAGGGACAGATATTTTAAGCATTTTGCATTAAAAATATTTTTCAGTTTAACATTGTGAATACGGAATTTTTCTCTTGATATCAATATCAATGGCTTTTTGGGCATTTTCACAAAATAAATTTATATTTTCACAAATATTCACAACAATTTACACTTTGACTTGACTATTGTGAGCAGTAGACAATTTATATTGCTATATGAAAATCAAGATTTTTTCGTTTCTTTTGTCGTTAGGTTCTGGTACATCTATACCTATGTTTACACAATTCGATTTACGAATAATTTTTTGTATATAATAATGGCTATTATAAGCTAATAATGATTATATGTATAATTATGTAAATAATCATTAGGTACAACAAATAATATATTAATTATAAAAACTAAATTGGATCTGGCGTGAAGACTTATATAGATATTATATTTAGTGATTTTTGCATTCTTAATGCTTTACTACTAGGTATTTATTTAAAAACAGATACATAAACAATTATTTTAAACATGACCGAGCTGAGAGCTTTTTTGGAAAGTAATTCTCGTGCGTAAGGAGTTCGTTGAAAATAAATCACACTATTTTACGACATTTATAAAATATTTATTTTCAGTAATCACATTCTGTTAAGATACCTATTTGTGGCACATCGAACAACACTTAAAATATATTCCAAATACACTATCTAGAGATATACTGCATCTATTTTGAGGTATTTATCATTTCTTAAACTATCAGCATGCATTACTAATAAACAGTAATCACAATTTATAACACAGATACTAACTATTCTATCACACTTAAAATAAATTCGTATTAGGTATTTTGATTTTTTTACACAGTAATAATTTGTAACAATTATTGATTTGTTATAACTATCAAATTAAATAGTCATCGTATACGCTGAATTTATTCTATTAAATATAAATTAAAACATATTTTACTAACAATTCATGCATCTATGCAATTCATAAGTATAAACGAGTTTGATATAAATAATAAGTCTTTTAATGTGGCAATTTTGTTTTGGAATTGGAAAATTTCCATAATTTATTTCAAGTCTTGATAAAAATATTTAAACCTAGAAAAAATAGATATGTCTAAATAAATATAAATAACACAGCCAAAACATTGAGATCTACACAAAAATATCGATATAACATGACTAATAAGCTGGTACTTAAGACCCTTCACGTCACTATTGAAAAAATTTCTTCTACTTTCAGTTCAATTTTACATAATAGAGTATTTTTTGTACTTGCTCAGTATTTTTCTTTCAGTATTTTCTGATAAAATCTGGATTCTAAACATCTATCACATATCTAAAACACATTTATAATAATGACACATAATATTATCTGACGTAGAATCTAAATTGTATACTTTCATATGAGCAAACATAAATTCTTATAAATCACGGGAATTTCTATGAGGTATTTAATTTCTTTCTTACAATACCCAGGACTCAATTTAATCCTCAGCTTCCGAGCATATCGAATAGTCTGTTTTCAGCTCTCTGGTCATATCTTCTGGTGATTCGTTTCTCAATCCTAAGGCAGCTCTAGAGGCGAAACTGCTTTGAGAAGCCATGCTGGCTAGTATGCCATTGGATAACGCTTGAACAGATAGCGCTTCTTGCGAAGGTCCAGCGTAACTATATTGTTGATATACCGCTTGTATTCTGGCCGCATTCACCAACGTCTGGATCTTCAACTGAGTATCCAAAGCGAGACTCAATGGCAGTTTCCTCAGCTGACTCGCAATCAGCTTTCCAAACATCTCAAATTCATTTTCGTTTACATTCTCCGAATGCTGAGACAAATCTTGTGGTCCTTCAGAATGGTCTCCATTGCGATCATCATAACTAACCTTCTTTTGTTTTGTAGGAATAGGATATATTGTTGCGAGAGAAGTCGTGAGTGGCGTTGCTATCCCAACCGGTGGATTCAAAAAAGGAGCAGACGTCACTGGTGGTAGAATACCAAATGGACTAGAGGATTGATTTAAACCAAACGGCGTATTGGGACGGGGTGAGGGTGTGTTTAGAACATAAGGAGTAGAGGAACGGGTTGAGCTGCGACGTTTCCTCGGACTTTTTTTCTCCGGAGATTTACGCTCGCTGAGATCCTGTACCGCATCGCTGTCATCGCTCGCCGGTATCTCCAACAAGCTTGCGTCTACCTGTATGAAACAAAGATACGTCAAACCAAAGCCTCAAAGCGCATGTGTCGCAACCGTAAACAAAAATAGTCTTACGGAGCTCGGTGTGACGATCGCCCGCAGAAACCTGTCCGCGTGCTCGAACCACGTGACGCTGGGCCGGTACGCATGCGCGCCGGCCTTCCGCGCCGCGCGAATCTTCTTCAGCTCCACGCTGTACGACGACCGTATATTCTTTATCTTATTTTTCAATTCTTTAACAGTGACATCGACGAGATTCAACGCGTTTATTATCTCAACGTAGCCCTGTTCTCGTATTTTTTTATTCTTGTAATTTTCCGATACAGGGTTCCATAGATACTCGCGTTTTTCGTATTCAATTATCATTTGTATGGTAAGATCTTCACTCCATTTTGGGTTAGCTAAAATCGCCACCATATTGTTATCAAATGGATTTCATTCACAGCATGCTTTTTTTATGTAATTTACGTTTTTGTAATAAAACAATTCGCGGTTAGCCAGCGTCTGTACTAGGAGCGCAGAAGGGTGCGGGCGGTTCGCATGCGCGCAGCATACTAAAAGCACGTCGATGGCCGGGGCCGGCGGCGGGGGGCTATTTCGGGAGTAGCCGGCTTCACGCAGCCGCGTGCTGTGGACCGTGCTGTTGCTCTCGCACCGTGGCGACCAGACCCGAGCGAAACAGAAGATTTGTGACCGACGGTGACGCGCTGGTGGATGTACACAGTAGGATGCTTTGAGGAGAGGCGTAACTTATAACGATATGATGACAATATTATCATGTACTAAACAAATGGTGTCACATGTTACACATGTACAAAATATAAATCTCAGCATCATTAAAATATAATTTATAAACCTTATAAATTTTAATTAAGTAACTGATAATAATGCAAAAAGAATGAGGGAGTGTTGCGCCCTTGCGCTCATATAATAATATTAAGTTGAAATCTTGGAAATCTCTGCAAAAATTGCAAACTTTGGGATTTTAAAGAACAAACAATTATAAAAAAAGGGTGGAAATATTAATGAACACTTAAAACTTAATATCAAATAAAACTTGAGTAATTATCTACACTTTTTGTATTATTTTCCCCTGAAAATTACCTATTAAAATTTCCATATATTGATTTAAAATTTTATTTAGTTAGTCACAAGTTCGCAGGCTTTTTCGGTTTTCTAATATATTTTATATTCCATCAGAATAATCGATTATTTATTTTCTTTATACCATTAAAAATATGAAGACACGCCTACTGTGTACGCTGACCAGGCGACCGTGATCCTTGAGAGGGCAGGACATTCGCTATTGGTCGCACGACATACTCTGCACAAAATCTATAAGCAAAAATAAATCTTATACTTGACGCTTAAGGTGTAAATTTAACTATTAACGTGTAATTTTCGGTCCCTGATATTTATATAACGACGTATAGAGTAGCGATGTTAGCGACATCTGTATCTCCGTTTGGGTCGCGTTCGTCCCGCGTCCTGCCTGACCTCGGTATAATTACTTGCAAATTAGTGAGCGTGTTGGTTTTTTATAAGTGGTTGTTTATAACGTAATTAATTTCGCCCGCTCTGTATTTAATGATATTAGTTATATGATTAACGTGAACAATGTGTTTACTCAAAACGGGGCATCAGTTTATTCGATTACAACAAACATCTTTTTTTAAATATATATAACTTTAAAAAATATATGTTTTTTTATTGTAATCGAATAAACTGATGTCCCGTTTTGAGCAAAAAAATTAGTTAAAATCACAGACACGTCTTATTATTTCTTTATTTGTAGTAGGAAAAAATGTTTGAATTGGAGATGATGGCTCAGTGGCTAGCTTGCTCGGTCCGCGATACAGTTATTAAGCAACTTTTGTATGTGCCAGTTATTATCTCGAGCTTCTCTGTGCTTCGGAATACACGCTTACGTTGGTCCTAGCTGCATCTGCAGGCGTTAAGATCCACCATCCGCACTGAACCCACGTTGTGGGTCATGGCCCATTCTACCTATTCGATTTGGTCAAATTCCATCCACAGAGAAGGCCTGAGCCCCTGCAGTGGGGACATCAGGACATCATAAGGCGGTTGATGGTGATGATGATGATGATTGATGTTGCTTTAATTTCACAGTAAACAGCTAAACACGCATGTTATGAAAATCAGGGTAACATAAAAAAGAATATTCTAAACAGATTACGGATAAAATTCTGAATATTCTAAACGGTATCATTAAAGACTCGCCCTCGCACTCGCTTTTTTCTTCTAAAAACAAAAAAAATATTTAAAAAAGTTAGTCTGGTGTATAATTTTATTAAATGATTAAATCCTATGTTTAAGAGTTCGTCGAAGGGTGAAGGGGAAACGAGGCAAAACCAGCAGGCCAGTCAGACACAAAAAGAGACAGATGACGGCGTGATTCGCAAACAATTATAATTATTTAATAATAAAATTGATAAATATGTTATAAAATTTATTTATAAAAAAATATTGTTAAGAGTAGATATTAAACAAAGATAAAGAGGTAACTTAGTGATTTATTTATTTATTATCAAAAAAAGATATTTCACACTGTAATTGTTTGTTAGCATTGAATAAGCTCTGAAACTACTTGGCCAATTTTTTAAATTCTTTCACCATGATACGCGGGTGACATAGGCTAATACTAAGTCAATGATTTTAATTTAGGTGCTCTTTTAAGCGCTGCCACGGCATTGGTGAATCCAGAAACTCTTGACTTTGAATTAAGAACTTTTTTTGTAATCTATGTCTATTTGGATTTCTTCGATCTCCTGTAATATATGTTTCGCTGTCATATCATAAACTATTTACTGTAAAATTAATTACTGTGAAACAACTTGAACGCATTGTTGTATTCCGTAGGTTGGCTTTTGTTTCTGTTTTCATAATTATAATAATATCTAAAATATCACACAAAAATAAATCGCACCTAAATATTATATATAATCCGACTGTTATATGATATTAATGATGATGATAGAAGATCTTTCTTGAAGCTAAACATAAACTTTGAAGGCTCTAGTAGGATTTTCTATATATTAATCATTAATATCATATAACAGCTGTTATTATCCGATTGTTTGTCTGATATCTTCGGTGTTTATTTATTTTTATGTTCAACATAATATTTTCCCTTACAATATATCTTGTTTTTGTTTTTGAAATAAAACTATTTTCTTTCTTTATCTTAATTCTATCTCCTTATATATCATTTTAATTCATTTATTAAGATAAATTTTGTATCCTTCTTACCGTTGCAACCAATACCCCATATAATATTCACCTTTTTTATTTTTTGTCCTCCTTAGGTTGCTTGGAAAAGATAGCTGTTTAGCAATAAGGCTGTCTTTTGCATACTTTTTTTGTGATTCTCTGTAACTTGTTTTTTTTTTATGTACAATAAAGTATACAATTATAATTAAAATTTTTCAACGTTTAAATATTGTATCGGTATTACTTGTTTAGTAATTTTAATTTGCAAGTCATTCCTCCTAAATAGTAGAGTATATACTTAGTCTGGCCATAAATACTGTTAGAATTAAAAATAAACGAAATATTACTTTAGAATTTCGAATCTGTCATTTTTATATGATTGTTCATTGTGATTTCTTATTATCGTGCCATTACATTATAAAATTTTTGTTATAGTGGGGTGATAAAGAGAACCGCAAACACAATTTTCATTATACCCTTGGTATTAGTCAAATCTTGCTGGATTATGATTTATGGTGAGTTTGAAAGAGTAAGGCTTGCTCTTAACGCCATGATAGTTTGGAGTCCCTATAACAATCTATATAATTGGCGGTTAAGAATTTTCCCGTGGAAAGAGGGAGTGTGCCTATTGATATCTGGCTTCAACGTATAAAGGACTGTATTGTAGCCAACGGAGACCACTTCGAATAAGCTGTATATGTATATGCTTTACATTAATGTATTAAACTAACACTGTGGTAATAGTAATTAATGTTCCGTTTAATAAAAAAAACGTTGATTTTCTAACAATATTTATGGCAAGACTATGTATATAATATATAGTATACGTATATGAATGCAGGTTATGTCGGTTTGACGCCATTTGCCAGGATATCTCCGCGGTAATGAGGGCGCAGGAGGCGGCTGAGAGCCACTGACGAGCCTACGGTGATCGAACAATCTTGATATTTGGAAGTGAAATAATTATTAAGTTTTGCCTTTTTGATAATTTATGACTTAATACAACTTTGGTCATAAATTATCTCTTTTTCATTTATTAAGACAAGACAATAATTTTAATATCTAATAAGCAAGCCAAATATACTCAAAAATCTTCAATAACTTGAGTTTTGCTGGTATAAAGATATATTTCAACATTTTAGAAATAAAACAAATAAACAGAATAGTTTCACTAAAACATTAATATATCTTATTTTACTTTAAGCTATCTGTCCTGTTACTCTACGAATAAATCAAAATAATTACCTCATTCCGCTAATTGTCTAATTTTTAATTACAGTTTATTTGGGATTGCTTCATACTGTTAGGCTAGGCCAGATGAGATGACTTCGAGGTTTACAACGTTGGCGTTAACGCTCAACTTAGCTATTTGATAGTGGAATAAACTTATATTTCTTGTATTTTAATTGTTAGTATTTTTAAACCAACTTTCGAGGATAAATGCAATATGTAAATGTATTTCAAAATGTCGTAGTGATTATACTATCATTTTAACTTTTTACACATCTGTCTAAAGTACAAAATATATTGCATTCAAAAATTCTTTGATTCGTTACCTAATTGAAAATAGTTTCTCGAGTAAGATTGTTATATGAAAACTTAAAAATGATATATTTTTTAATGTAGTCTAAGAAAATAATGAATATTATGGAAATTTCATGCGTCAATTACGTTTCATCGGCGTATAGCCCGCACTCGACGCTAAAGGCGCGGCCCGCCCGGCCGCTACCGCAAGCTACGCTTGTAATATCTACGTGTTTATGTCTACGGGCGCTACGTAGTTATGTAGAGTCAACATATCGGTTGGCTTTGTACTGTCCTTCCTATCAGGCCGTTTTAGAGATGGAATTTAATCATTATAAAGTAAGTACTCGAACTAGTATTTTTCATTCAGTTTTTACAAAATAAATTGCACTTGACATTTTTTAAAAAGAAATAAGAAATGAAATAATAGTTCACAGGTCAAGCTTTGGCCCAAAATAAAAAGTAATGATAAAAACAAGCGTCAACAAAAAACAGACGACGGTAAGTAGAGACAGAGAGTAGTAAGTAATATCGCCCCAGGGGTAAAAGCCAAGACTAACGAGCGCTTCACCAGGGTGGCATGACATTACAGGCGGTACAGGCACGCGCCATTAGGCGAGCGGGAGCCCCGGAACGGGCCCTATTTCCTTTAGGAAGCGCAC